CCTTCCTCCTCTGTGGGAGCAGTCTGGAGATGAGCATCTCATGAAGCAAGCGATTCTGACAATCCTTGCTCGTCTTACGAATGCGATGAAGGCAGACTCACGCTCATTCCACGTCTCGTTCCTTCCCATCATTCAAAGCGCAATCGAGCCTGGCTCCGAGACTCAAGTGTATCTTCTTGAAGATGCCTTGGATCTATGGGCCTCAATCGTTGCGCAGACGCCTTCTGCTCCAGAGCCTACACCACCCGAGTTGCTCAATCTTCTCCAATACCTTCTCCCGCTCTTCTCCATGGACAATGAGACTCTTCGAAAAGCCATTGAGATTACCGAAGCATATCTTCTCCTTGCACCTGCTGCAGTCCTGGCCGACAACTTCCGCCCCGCAATTCTCCAAGCCCTTGCTGAACTGCTGGGAAGTCTCAAGCCCGAAGCAAGCGGCGTCATGACCCATCTAGTGCAATGCATAATCCGCGGCGCAGAAGGCGTAGGTGGCGAACAAGCAGTCAAAGTCGTAACCAGCGACCTCATCTCCAGCGGCTTCTTCGCCAGAGTCCTCGAAGGCCTGCACGGCGCATGGGCGCACCACAACTCCCACGGCCCATACCGCGAACTGCCCTCGCGCGCTGTCGACGGCGTCGTAGAGACAGACTACTTCACGGTCCTCGCGCGCATCGGCCTCGCGTCTCCGTCCGTCCTGCTCGAAGCGCTCGCATCGATTGGCAACGAGGGCCTAGAGAAGACGCTGGACTGGCTGCTGGAAGAGTGGTTCGCGCACATTGAGAACATTGGCGACGCGCCCAACAAGAAGCTCATGACGCTCGTGCTGACCCGTTTCCTGGAAACCAATCAGCCATGGATGCTGGCGAAGCTGCAGAGCCTCATCGTCGTGTGGACAGATGTCCTTGCCGAACTGCTCGATGGAATGGACGACCGGAGCCAAGAGTACGTTTCCCTTGTCCCTTTTCCCTGACTCCCGCTTTCTAACCACCCCCTCCTCCTAAGCCTACTCGCACAACCCGTACTAACGCCCGCCCCTAGCTCGCTCTACTGGCCCCCGGAGCCCTACCACCCCACCGAGCCCGAAGCCCCAGAGGACATACGCAAGCGCGACCTCATCTACTCGGACCCCGTGCACAGACTCAACCTCGTCGTCTTCGTCCGCGAGCACTTGCAGCAGGCGATTCAGGCTGCCGGGGGCGAGCAGGCGTTCCAGGAGGAGTGGTTGAGTCGCGTGGATAAGGATGTGTTGAATGGATTTGGCGAGTTGGGCATTATGTGAGTGATGGGGCGTTGGAAGGGGATGTGTCTTGGAGAAGAAAGATTAATCGAGCATGTATGGGGTATGTCTAGGGGTCCTTTGTGGTAGATGAGGAACTACCCTTCCGAGATGTAATCGATGGACACTTGTACAATCGTACACCCATGCACTGGGTACGGCGATGAGTAAGGTGTAGCTTCCGTCGGCGTGGGGAACAATGTAGCTGTCTGTCCTCAGAATCCAGCATGCTTCAATGTGCTTGAAGAAGAGATACCATTACGCAGTATTCACTCATACAAAATCAACACAGGTGTGTCTATTCGCGCAAGCGACATATACAAATGTCAGACTGAGCCCCATGTCTCTCCACCGCACAAGATACCCTTCCCCCAATCTCAAACCCTTCCTCCACACCGCATCCGCCCTCCCAACCCCTCCCACTCATCCCTGAATCACCAACCCACCCACTCATTCCTCAAACGGGCGTAAACGCGATCCAAAGCAATAACAGACCAACGCATATCGGATAAAGTATAACCCAGAAAATGAGCCACATATAGAACTTTCGCTTTTCCTCTGGCGTCTTGTCTTTGAACTCTCGGTTTGCGCGCGGTTTGGCCGGCGCAGATGACTTAGAGCCTCGAGATAGTCGTGCTTTGGGGCTGGCAGAGAGGTATCTGTGTGTTGAGCGTGGAGTCAATATTGCGTCTTGTGGTTCTAGCTGCCTGCATGGGCAAGAGCAGGAGGAAGGACAAGAGCGAGAGCAAGTGTAAGTCAAAGTGAGCGAGCCAAAGTGCCAGGGTAGGTACTTTGAGCAAGGCCGAGCTCAATTCAAACTCACAGCTCAAGATCCACATCCCCACTCGCATGCCTCAAAAACTCCCACATGGCTCTCACCACGCTGACGCCCGCGCCCTGCGTCTCGACCGTTCTGCCGCGCCCGCGGTCGTTCAAGTCGCTTTTGGACTTGGCCTTGTGGCTTTGGAGGAGGAACGCGGACAAGTCTTGCGAATAGGTGGTGGGTGAAGTCCCGTTCGGATATAGCTTGGGCAAGTTGCGGTAGTCGATTGCGTTGCGTGGCAGTTTAGGAACGACATAAGGCCAGTTCTTCCTGGATTCATGTTTATTCGACTCCTGAGTAGGCCCAGGTACACCGTCTTTTTGGACGCCGGCGTACCGTGCCCCCCACCAGGCGCCGAATCGGCCTTCCTCGTCGCGTGTCTTGAGCGCGGATTGCGCATTGTGTACTACCCATCCGGCGTATTCGTTGCAGCTCCTACGGTGCAGCGTTGCTGTCTCGCGGGACGCAGCGTACGTTACGCCTAGACGCGCAGGCCGCAGTGGAAGTGGAGCACAGAACGCAGTGAGATGGTGGAAGAAGATGCCCTTGAACGACTGCCCGTCTTGACTGCACCGGCCAGATGGATCGCACGCTTCAGTAAGGATACCGTTGCTACCGAGGCCGTGCCAAACAAAGCGACCGCCGTTCCGCTCCCCAAGTGTGTCTTGTTCTTGTTTGCGCGACTGGCGCGGTGTAAATGATGGTCTGGAGAACACACTGGGTTTCCTCCACCCCGTTGCACGGAGCACGTTGCCGACGAGGTCGTGCCCGTCTTCGAGATATGTTAAATTGCCTGTGGCTTCCCAAAGGCCGCGGAGGCCCGAGAGAATGACGCCTTGGTTGTAGGTGTAGACCATGTCATTGCGCTCATCGCACGTCGTCTTGCTGCGGTTCTCGCGGTATCCACCAATATGGAAGCCATCAGTATACAACCCCTGATCATTCTTCATACCGCTGCTCTCGAGCCAGTTGTACCCATTGATTGCGTTGGCGAGGTAGATAGGGTCATACTGTCCGCGAATCGGTTCATTGCATTCCTCGTCCATTCTTCCAGTCTTGACCTCCTTTTTCTTCGCAAGGAACGGTCCACAGATCTGATCCCCAGGGAAGTTCAAGTACATGCCCACGCTGGCAGAAATGAAGAGCTCATTCGTAATCGCGTTCTTGTACGGCAGCAACCGTGGATTCCAATTCATGCCTCCCCCGCAAAGCCGCCAGTCCCAGCCCTTTTCTGCAAGTTCGTAAAAGATGCGCGCGCGGTGCGCAAACGGGTCAATAAACTGGCTCGCATGCCATTCTCGTTTCCTACTGCCCTCGCTCTTCTCCGTGTAGTGCGTCTTCGAACGCTGGCGTATGATCCCCACCGACTTCAACCACGCCCACAAACCGCGTGCGCAGTGCGCAAAGGCGTCGGCAAATGAGCTGGTATACCACTCTCCTCTACTACTTTCAGCAGTAGCTGCGTAGTGCGTCCTCGAATGTTCTTGTATGAAACCGACCGACTCAAGCCATCCCAGCACAACCCACAGCATATCGTCGAAGGCCTGCATACGGATCGCGAAATGGTCCTCGCCGAAGTAATACGCCACGCTCTGCGCAAAGTACTTGTTGATTTCGTTCTCCACCATTTGCGCCTCGACATCGAGTTTGCGCGCCTTGTCGAACGTGCCGGGCATGGTGTAGTCGATTGAGCGCGAGAGGGAGGACAGAGTTGCCGATACGTAGGTTCCTACCACCGCGCCGGTCCAGTCGTTGGACGTGGTCCATTTTCCGACCCAGAGGGAGAAGTACTGTTCTTGCAGGGTCGAGAGGGCGCTGTGCAGGTCGCGGAGGACGTTGGTTTCGGTTGTGGAGGAGTCGGGGGAGTCGGATGGGTTTGATGGTGAGGGCGAGGTGGGGGATGTAGTTGTATATGACGGCGAGAGAGCGGGTGGGTGGATTACATGTTGATGGTTAGCCTCGTAGGCCGAATGCTGTATGTCTATAGGTGTTAGTGGGTACAGTGAGGGACGAGTTGGGCGCGTACTTGGTGAGTCTTGCGACTTCACGTCTGAAATTAGTTGAGCAGCGAATGCGAAAGGTAATATTATAGCAACAAGAAATAGGATGGCGCCAAAGCGACGCGGCGAAGCCTTGGAAGCCATGATGCCACAAGGAAGATTCTACATGTTCCTGTAGAACGGGCTGTCCAGTGGAGGCAGGGCGAGTTAATGCGTGGGTAGCTCTGCGAGCGATGTAGTAGCGATATATTGATGATAGTACATGAAGCGAGTGGTAAGATCGCGTGGAGGTGTCACAATCCGCGGAATAAAGGTTGTCTCAGAGACGGGATCAGATGCCAACTGCGGCGCGTTTTGATGTCTTCCCGCCTCGCCTTCCCATCTAAGATCGCATGGCTGGCTCTTGCTCGTAATTCAATGCGCCAGGAAGCGCCGTGCACTTTAGCAATTCACCTGGTGTTGCTGAAGAAAGAAGCACCCGCACCCATCGTGTTTCCCACGTGAGATCCTGAAAAGCGGGCGGTCCGTCGCGTTGATTGGTGCACGGCACGCTAGTTTCGACTGGGATAGCTGGAGAGCTGGCTCAAAACTGAGTGTCCAGGCGATATCAGGAAAAGGCAGACCAGCAGTAAAAAAAGCGAAAATTGTATTGAGTCAAAAGGCGAATTGAAGATTTAGACGTATTTGTCACATCGAGAACAAACGAGTATGGAAGGGGTAATGGAGAACGGGCACTGTCAACTCGGAGTTGCAGACCCACCACCGGCGTGTGTGATGTTCTTTTCGTCAGCTGGCTTGTAAGCTAGTTAAGCGTCGGCATTATCCATGCAGAGACTTCAAAGGCTTCTTTTATACAAGTATATTAATTGTTTTATTCTCGATATTTTCATCAACAACATCAGGCAAGATGGCCGAGCGGTCTAAGGCGTTGGCTTCAGGTGCCAATCAACATTCGTTGGCGTGGGTTCGAATCCCACTCTTGTCAACATTCTTTTTGCATTTTTTTTGGCATTTTTTGTCATCTTTGATGGGACATTTTTTGCCTCTGGACGGTAAAACATCTCCGCAAGAAGGGTCTCGGCTCTTGAAGCAGTAGACAGCGGTGGAAGACGGTCGTAAGGTACTCTACTATCCATATAATCCTCATATATCGATCATTTGAATACAGTCATCACGATGGGTGGGAAACATGCTAGTTTATCATTTCGAAAATGCTTGCTATTTTTCGAGTGCGTCAAGTCACGAATCAGTATTTGCACATACATTGCGGTTCAATATTGAATAAGGCTTTGGCGATCCATCCGTACCTCTTCCACGAAATCATCCCGACGATATATACCACCATCTCTGCCTGCTATTCCTATCTTATCCGTGAAGATACAGTCCTTCAGTTTGCTTGTCTCAAAATTACAGTAAGGCGTACCAGATCGACAGAATCCTAAATGCCAATGGGATCAGCAGGCGTGGGGGCCAATATGTCGTCTCAGCCTCGCTCCTGAAAACGCTGGTGACAACTGCAAAGGACTTCACACTTCAACCACATTTCCTGGCAAAAGGGCAATATCTAATCTCCGGATTTACCTGCTCGTCTGAGCATATTCTTCACGCTGAAACACCTTACGCCAGTCCTACCGGCTGCGGATGGCAGAACGCAGGCCTTGGCAACCAGGTACAACAACTACTCCGCCAATTTCACAACTCTTTCCAAGTAGCATACAGCAGCAATGTCGGGCATTATTCGAAACGCTTCAGCAGGTTTCTGGGCTCAGTTTCCAATCGGCACCAGATTAAGTCGAGCATTCGTCACGCATCAACTCAACCAGAACAGAATCGCCATCTTCAATGGCTTCCTACTTTTCCTGTCCCTCTTTATCAACATATCGGAAATTTGGCAAGTTCTCGCTGTACCGTTCCTTGGTATCGCAAACCGCGATGCCATTGGCCAGCATATCCCGACCAGTTCACGCGCCTCCAAGTACGCATACATGGCCATTGCGTACCCTCTTGGCAATCTCCTAGCAGTTTTAGGTATCGGCTTTGCGGTATCTCTGCTTCTGCTGGCCTTGATCACTCTTCCAATAATTGCATTCGTTGTTATTGGAATCTGGGGTCTTTGTATCCTGGTATTATTCTTCCTCTGGTTCTCCCTATACAGATATCCAATCTTCGAGGTAATCTACCCAAGGCTTCGCAAAAGGATGTTCGAGAACAACTCCAAGGTCTACAGGAAACTTCCACAAGAGAATCAAATCATCCGAATTGTGCGACTAAAAGCTGGAAAGGCCGGAGATAAAATTCGTTGCGATCTAGTCGAGGGACCGCTTGCAAATTTGCATTTCGAGGCTTTGAGCTACGTTTGGGGAGTTACTTTAATGCCTTATACCATTTTCATAAACGACAAGGAGTTTTCCATCACGTCAAATCTGCACGGTGCGCTTAAAGAATTGCGACATCCTAAACATGATAGACTATTGTGGATCGACGCTATATGTATCAACCAAAACGACAATATAGAGAAAGGGTATCAGGTCCAGATGATGCGGGATATCTATGCAAAGGCCTCCAGCGTATGCGTTTGGCTCGGATCAGGCACCAAAGCCACCTCTTCCGCATTTGAAATGGTGCAGCGATTTGCAAGCGCAGAAGAAGATGCAAAGGATACGGTTTGGAATCAAGGCACCCAATTGCCCAGTTGGAAACAGGTTCGACGAGAGTTGGAAAGGATATTAGAATACGAATGGTGGAGTAGAGCGTGGATTATTCAAGAGGTCGTCATGGGCAACCACGTAGTTCTGCAAAGAGGTCCCCATCAAGTGGAATGGGAGTCTTTCCATAGACTACTGACCTACTCCCCCTTTCTTGACGACGGCTTCGATGAGTACGATGCGCCGAACTTCGCAGCCGATATTCAGGAGATACGGACAGAAGAACAAGCCGATGAGCCCATTTCGAACACCCTTCTTGGACTTGCCTATCGCTTCCGCTATCAATCAGCAACCTTTGGATCGGATAAACTTTATGCGCTCCTTGGATTGCTCAAGGCCGACAACCCTTCATTGATCACGCCAGACTACAACCAGCCCCCGGAAGAAATCTTCCTACAGTTCACTGTCTCCTGCCTTAGACACAACCAAAATCTCACCGCCATTGTGCTGGCAACCGGCACCGAGCTTCAGGGCGTAAGCTGGTGCCGTGATTGGCGTTTTACCCATGATGGCTCCTTCGAAGCTCGATTTTTGTCTACACATGGCCCCCATGGCAAGGCTTACTCGGCTTCTGGTAATCATCTTCCCGTTTACGAAGCGGACATAACCTCACGCACGCTCTCGGTTAAAGGATACGAAATTGACGTTGTCGATAGAATAGGCGGGTTTCACATGCAAATTGGACCACAGAACATTGACTGGGACCTGGCACTGCGCGGTTGGGAGCGCGTAGCTGGCAAGCTTCTAGAGGACGACGCAGACTCAGAATCGCGAATAGCCTTTAACACAACCATCACTGCAGATTGTTGGACGGAGGAGCCATTAGACTGGCGAAAGCGGATCACTGGTCGCCGAAGCACTCCAAAAAATGAAGAAGACAAGAATTACGTGAGAACACTTGAAGACGCATGTATAAGTCGTCGATTCTTTGTTACCAAGAATGGCAGATTTGGACTAGGGCCTTGGAACATCAAGAAGGGCGACACTGCCTGCGTGCTTCTTGGAGGCAAGACGCCTTTCATTTTGAGGACCTGTAAGACCGTGGCTACAAAGGGCCGGTTGAACGAGGAGAAAGTTAAGAACGTGACATATCACAAAGTCATTGGCGAGGCTTACGTCTCTGGTTGCATGTACTACGCAGGTAGCATGGAAAACGACATAAAGAGCGGAAACGTGGTGCCCACGTGGTTCCACCTCCTGTAGTTGGAAACATATTAGCCAAAGGACAATGAACAAGTCTGCCTCGTGGCGATACTTTTGTGTTAGAAACGGACAATGGTCCGTTTGGTTAAGCTAACCATTGCCTTGGGTATGGCACAGCCCCTCCTAAGCGAGTTCGACATTATTACATCTACTATATATTGCTTTCTGCATCCATACCATGCTCTAGACGACATTACTTAGGCCCCCAGGTACGTGCACACTAACCATACCGAGATCTCACCCCCATATCCTGGAATTCGAGGCTTCCAAGTCCCGTATACCTATTTCTCGCCAAGAAAATATATATTGATCCGTCGACGGGGCGAAATAAAAATCTGACCTCGGGCGAAATTTTCTAGTTGGGCAGCTGAGAGTAATGCTGCATTGGGTTACTCTGCGCTCTGTAGTATCCAATTTCCGACATGTGGTACTAGAAAGTACTCGACATTGTCTCTTCTGAGTGCATACCTAATCCCTGGTTCAACAGCCTGATTACAGACTACGCCGCACACCTACATGAACATGTTCCTCATACTGCAGGTGAGGTGACTGTTCCTGAGGTCCGGCCCGTCAGCGAGCCTCCAGTCCCCTGCTAGTTCGAAGAGCCCTGCGTCGGGCGTAATGTGTGCCTCTTGAACACATGATGGAAAAGGGGATTAGGTGACTATAAAATCAAGTCCTTTGAGTAACATCAACGCTATCGCCAGCAATTACAGTTCTCTTCTCAAGGCCTTGAGCATCTTCCGTCCAAGACAAATCTCTTTCAAGATCGAGACTACCCAACATTCTTCTCAGTCCTCCAGCCATGCGCTTCTCAATCCTCGCAACCGCGCTAGCAGCTGCCTCATCAGCTTCTGCGTACATCTCAGGAATTACCCTCCCGAAAGTCGTTGCACCGGAGGAGCCATTCACTCTCCGACTGACCTGGCGTTATGGGCAGGGCGCCACCCCCCGACTCGGCCTGTCTTGGGGGTATACCCGCATCTCCGATCCTTCAGAACTAGGCGTTGTGGGCGATGTGGGTGCTTACGGCAGCATCGCATTCATTCCGGACCAGGCGAATAATGGCCGTGACGCTATCTTGAACCTTACAACACCGAGTATTCTATCCGACAGCACTTTGATGGGTCAGGATATGGTGTTCACTGTGGCTTTGTTTGGAGACATCGGAGTACATGGAACTGCACAAGTAGTTTCGTACAATACTACCATACATATTGGAGAGAAGACATCGACAGAGACGACTTCGAGCATCGGGAAGGGATGGGTTCTTCAGGGTGGTTGCGGTGCTTGCCGGGACTAGATGATGATGTCGACGAGAAATCGTGTAATTAAGAATTCGTTACGAGGTGGATGAATGATTGGGCTGAGGATATGTGATGGGTAAATCTAATCTTAGAGAGTTTGATATGCGCACGACTCCCATTATTGGCAAGTTACTGCACTCGCCTACGTACGGAATAGTGATCCTAGACCTACACACAAGAACTTTTCCCATTATTATAAAGCACATTTAGAAGTCTTCTTTAGTCTCCAGTTGAGAGTACATCTTCTATTAAAAGCTCTCCTCACGATTTGTGAAAGGACGAGAGGGTCGCATAAGCAGTAAAGTGATATCATGACAGTATTCGTTCAAATTGCAAGTACGATTATAATTTTTTCCTAAAGCGGTACTGGCGGATTTTCTGTGGTCTTTGGGCGACTTTGGTCGATTCTTGAATGTTTCACCTATGACGTTGCGATGATCCGCGAGTTCAACACCACACAAATGCGCACGAGACCAGGAATATTGCCATTCCGTAATTTAGAATCGTCATCTCAAAACATACTCTACCCTAGCTCAACTATATTGAAGTCTCCTTCATCATCTTTAATCAACCTAAGTCCGATAATTTTAGCACTATTCCAATGGTCAGGTCCTCGACCAATCCTGAAGCGGAGTATGTGCAAGCCAACGAATCAGACATCGGTCTTGATCGATCAAATATCACAAGCCAAGGCCAAATCCAACTTCCGTCCCTCGACAATGATGAAGATGAAGATGTACGAGCAGATAATGACCGTCGCTCTTCGTCCG